ATTTTTATAATGCACATTGATGTAAAATAAAAAAAAAAAAAATACATACTACCTCCTATTCTTTTTAAATGTCAATTTAGCATTATCAACTTTTAACAAAATAAATGTCGATTTTGATATTTTGTAGATAATTTTTTCAATATTACTCTCATCAAGCTAATAAATACACTACGTTTTATATTCACTTTTCATCTTTCTCAAAGCATTCATCACTGTCCTCATTAATGAAGGTTATTATTGCCCAAAAAAGTATTTATAGTAACTGTATAACTTTTCAATACGACACTTATTATGAACAGGAGGGAGTATAATTCAACAATTTTTCCCAACAATGGCAGTGAAGTCACATTGGGAGTCGGTGTTTTTTGTTGTTATTTTTTAAAAAAAAAATAAAATAAAATAAAATTGGTTCTATACTACTATTGGTGCAATCATTCCACACCGAATTCTGACAAGAACTTGTGATCCTGGACAAATCTAAAAATCTACCATGTCATTGTACATCATCTGCAGAGGCCAACAACGAATTCTTGGACTACATATATATGTTTTCCACATTTTAAGATCATAAATTTACGAAGTTAACTTTCAATTGGCAACTTATTAGTTTTTTTTTTTTTTTTTTTTTCGACATCTACTGTGGAGCAAAACTAATTTTACATATCATTGATCTAACTGTAGAAAACCTGTAGAATTCCCTCAACCATCGACTCACATTCCATTAGGAATGGGCCCATCTGAATGATCATGCAGTCGGGCACGAAATGAAACCAAGATAGACAGTGGCGGAGCCACACCATGTGGCTGGGGTCAGCTGACCCTTATGGAGTTCAAAATTTTTAGTATAAAATATTGTTCAAACACTGTTTACTAGGTTAATGACCCCGCTAAAAAATATTGCCGACCCCGGTGAAATTTGAGGCTGGCTTCGCCCCTGAAGATAGATCGTGTGACGTTCAAATTTTCACAAAATTCACTTCTTTGCATGTTGTGGAACAAGACGTTGTAGCAGCTCTGGAGGTGCATCCGCCAATTCTGTATGAATTGACATCCGGACAAAGAAAATTAACTAAAAGACCCTAATATCTTTCAAAATTAAAAAAAAAAAAAAAATACCCCTCGAGGCATGCTTCCGTTTCACAATTGCAACTTCGGATGGGAATGATTGATTATAAACCAAACATAAACCTTTAAGGGTGTAGAGATGTTATCCGAACCGAGCTGTTCATGAACACAACTCGATTCAGCTCGTGAAATCTCGAGATCGGCTTGTCCTTTTACTTAAATAAGCCAATCTCGAACAGCTAAACAAGCTCATTTATTATTTTGTTTTTTATATAGGCTATGATCGAACAAATCAAACCTAACATGTTCACGAATGAACAAATCATGCCTGTGAGTAGCTCATTTTATTAGACGAGACAAGCCGAGCCAGCTCAATTTATTATACGAGCATGAGCTCAAACACGAACTGCTCAGCACGGCTCGAATAACATCCATCTATACTACTTCAAGGTCAGTTTTTTGTGGTTAAAAACAAAATTACTTGTAATTTCGTAAATTAAATTAAACTATTGAAACCTACACTTACCTTCAGGTGAAAAATCAAAGAGAGGGGGAAAGTGTCTCCCATTAGGAATACATGCATTGGCCTCTCTCAAGTCGTCAAAAAACGGGTGGGCACAAGCCTCCAACTGTAGAAATAAAGGAAAACAGACAAGGTGAATACTTTATTCCTTGTGTAGAACTGAATTATGATCGAAAGTACCAAGTGTGTACAGTTACCGATAATACCGTCACAGATAATTAAAAAAAAAAAAACTTACGGCAGTGAAACGTAGAGTAGGTGAATATTGGAGTAACCTGGACACTATATCCAATGCTTCAGGTGGTATTCTCCTATTAAAAACCTGTGAACAAAAATAAATAAACAATAAATTGCTTCTCTATTTATCTGTTGGAAAACACTTGCAACAGTGGCCCTAGCGGTAACAAAAGGTTTATGTAAATGATGTAATTTGCGGAGTACCTATGAAACTATATAAACATTTCAGATTTTGGACTACGTTTTTTTTCCCTCTCGACGAACCTTGTGCCATGGGTGGGCTTTAATTTGAGGAAATTTGAATTCGGTGTAATTTGGATTCATGCACTTGATTTCCTCCCTAGTCGGCGTCCCCAGAACCTAACGTTGAAAACAAAATACAGAATAACAGCTTAAAGATGCATTTTTACTTAAAATCAAAATAAATAGATAGGTAAAAAAATAAAAATAAAAATACAGAAGGACAATAAGTAAATCGGAGTCTTGGCTTGTACCTTAATTATTTCAACTAGCTGATCAACACTGCTCTCCCCAGGAAACAGAGGCTGCGCATATTCGGAACATATCAAAAATAGATTTCAAAAGTGAGAGAAAGAAAGAAATATAAGTAACAAAGGTCAAAGTTAAAAACCAGTACCTTCCCCAAGAGAAGCTCAGCCATAACACAACCAGTCGACCACATGTCAATTGCAGTTGTGTACTCCGTAGCTCCGAATATAAGTTCGGGAGCCCTATAATACCGAGAGCAAATGTATGATATATTTGGTTCACCAGGTACCTGAACCAATTGAAAAAAAGAAAAAAAGAAAAAACACAACTGTCAATTATATTTTTTTGTTAGTGGAAGAAAACTCGAGCTTTATAACAATTATACATACCAACATCTTTGCACTCCCAAAATCACAAATCTTAAGCTGGTGGGTGTGAGGGTTAACCTGCAGAAAATATCATTTATTTAGAGATAATTAAGTTCAATAACTTGTGAGAGGAAAGATAGACATGTTTTTAGTTTAAGGAGCATTGTCAAAAACTTTTGCTCTCAAGAGGAAGTGATTAAATGTATAACAAGCGAAAACGCCGAAAAGTGGTTGGAAGTCAAAAGGCATTAGAATATGCAAACAGAAACAGAAGACAGTATTAAAAGGGTGTTGGGTAAATAAGTCAAAAGAACGATTTATTTGAACGTAAAGCCTCAAACTCAAAGCAAATGTTCAACTATATAGTAAATTGGTAACCATCCATATGCTATTAGATTCCAATTAAATTATCTAGAATTCAAAACCGAAAGTCGTTAATTTGAAACACTTCAAACTACCCTCTTCCTTTTCTCCATGCAAAATTTGACAATTCCTTTTCCGATTCACACTCCATAAGGTTAACCAAGTATATAATATATACAAAGAGATGCATAAAAAAAAAGGAGATTTTCACTTAACAAGAAAAAGATTCATACCAGTAGATTCTGTGGCTTTATGTCACGATGACAAACCCCTATAACTCTATGAATGTAATTTAACGCTCGGCAAATCTGCAATTTCAATACAAACCAATAACAGAAACGATTTCATCAGCTATGCCTTTTTTAATTGTTTTTATTTTCTTTGTTCATCTCGATGCACATAAATAGTAAAGGAAAAGCTTTTTGCCACTCATTTATATATACCTGGTATGTGTAAAGCTGTACATGCAAAAAGGGCATGTACTGGTTCACCCGGATATAATGCCTCGAAGCCCGATGAACAGTTTCGGAGACATACTCCAGAACAAGGTTGAGGTACACCTCGTTTTTCTCGGTAGTGGAATAGAAAGAATGTTTTAAGTGAATGACATTAGGATGGTCAAGCAATCGCATAATCTGCAGCTCTCGGTTTTTATATCTCCTATCTTGCAGTACTTTCTTTATAGCCACAAATTCATTTGTTTCCAGACACTTGGCCTATAAATCAGATAATATGGTTAGAAAAATGAAGTTGATCTTGCTCTTCTTTTTTTCTTTTTCCTTTGTTTTTTTTTTTTTT